TAAATATTTTAATATTGAATTGTTTTTCGTAATCCTGTCTTTGTCATATCAGCTTAAATTTCTTCTCAGTTTCGTGGTTGGTACTTTCACCAAATCCCTTATAAGAATTTCTATCGATGCCGTGCAAGTTAAACCTATCTGGGTTGTAAGCATTTTCTCTTTTAAGGTGAATAAATTTGTTTTTTTTTAGGTCGATTGGCTTATGCTTTGGCTTATTGCTTCCGTAGTGTAAAGGGTTTTGTTTTGTTGATTTTCGGGTTTAAATCTTTTGTTTTCTGTAGGATTTGGTCATCTGGGGTTAGTGATCAGTGAGGAATTTGTCATTGGATTTTTGTCGAATGGATGAATTAGTTGGACCTCGCTTGTACAGCTGCTATAAATGTCGAAACAATGTCTCTCTTCACGATGATATAATCTCTAAGGCGTTTCAGGTGATTGTTTTATATCTATGCCTCATTACTTCCTGTTGGTGTTTAGTATATATATGATTCTTGAAACTTGATGTATGATGGTTTAAGTCACAGTATTGCTGTCACGAGAACTTCAAAAGCATATTCATTATGCTTGCTATTGCTTGTATACGGAATTAGTTGGGGTCAAGCTTTGCGTCTATCCCTTATTATTCAGCACTAGTTCCCTTTCATTTGTATGTGATCAGTGCTTTCAGATGAATATTATTAACTAAATCCCTCTATTGTATTGAGCTCAAAGTAAAGGATGGGCTTAACTAGTAGTCAAGGAAAACCAAATGAGAAATGAAGAAAAATAAGTGGAATCAACTCACTCTTATTGATGCTTTTTACAACTTCTCGACTTAATTCCTCACGGGGATGTAATGATTGTTATTTTTAAGTCCAAGAATTAGTAAATGCATAAACATTGATCTGACAATGGGCAAGGAAGGGATATTTCTCTTTTGCACTTCAAGAATCAGATAATTCTTAACTAGTTAGTTTTTATTTGTGGTCATCTTGTTTCTGAGTTTAGGTTTTATCTGTGGTCATCTTGTTTCTGAGCCTCGTCCAAAGAAAAGAAATACTATTGCTTTTCAGGGAAGGCATGGCAGAGCTTTTCTGTTTACTCATGTGATGAATATTGTCGTTGGGGCTAAAGAAGACAGAACTCTCATGACTGGTCTTCATACTGTTGCTGATGTACTCTGTGGGGATTGCAATGAGGTTTTGGGCTGGAAGTATGAACGAGCTTATGAGCCAACTCAGAAGTACAAGGAAGGGAAATTCATACTCGAGAAATCTAAAATCGTTAAAGAGAATTGGTAGTCCACCACCAATTTCATTATTGATTCTTTATCTTAATACTCAATGTAAGTAATGTTTATCCTATCTATAATATCACTCGTTGTACAGAACATGCTGAACTGAAAAATTACAAATGCTCAATTGAAGTTTTGTACTTTCTGTTGTTTCATATAACTCATTGGTATGAAACTCTGTTAGTAAACAAATGCTATACTATTGCTTGAAGTTTTTATTATTCACAATTATCTTCAAACAGTAGATAGCTTCCTGAAGAGTCTGTGACTCTCTATGTGGTATTGTTCTGTGATAAATCAGAGCCGATTTTGGACAATCCCTCTAAATGGCAGGTTAGGATGCCAATCTTAAACCAAAAATTCAGGTTTTTGTATATGTCTACAGCCAGTTCTGGTGTCAAAAAAAGCAATGGCTAAGATGGCAGAGGCCTAGCTGTGACTATTGAAATTTCCTATTATAAGAGCTTGTAGAAGCTCTTGTTCCCCACACTTACAAATTGACTCCTGTTTAAATAATGCCAAGGGCATTAAACTTATTGGCAGTGGATTGTGAAATCACTATCTCTTAAGTTGGTAGATCCAAGATAGACTAGAATAACATTGGTGAACAATGAAATGATGAACTTGTCAGTCCTTAGAAAGAAAAGATGTCATAAATCATATAGCTATGGATTGACGAACATAGAACAACAGAAAAAGGTTGCCTCGCTTTTGCACGTTTTGAATATCTGTTTAACTGATCATTAGGTTCAGTTCTTGCTGCTTCTAGGAACAGAAAGAATACCAGTGATTCTTGAAAATGATAGAGATGCCAAGGGAAAAGCTTGATTACTATATTAGAAAGTAATAACACTAGAAATTCAAAATTCAAAATTCCAAATAAAAGATCCTATTTCAGTTTCAACAGTTACTAGATCAAGAAGCAGTAGTCTAGTTAGAAACAATCTACTGACTTACTGCGGCACAGAAGAATTTCTCTCGTAAAAAACTGGCTTGAATTACAAAGTAGAGGTAGAAGAGTAAGAAGATGGGTCTTCCCGTGGTGCAGCAGCATTAGGTCTCCTGTGTACCATTGGAATGTGTTGTTAAGGAGGAGGGTGATTGTGCTGGCCTCTGTAAGTTACGATCACCTTGGTTGGGTCTTTTGAGCTTTTCTCAACATGTCTCTTTGCTGGACAATTTTTAACTTCAGTACACGAATAGTAGCTCTTTCCAGTTGGACTCGTCGTATACTTTCTCCATCTCCCATGATCCGCCTTACTCAATTCCTCAGCCAATATTTCATGTCTTTCATGTATCTTTCCGCGGTAAATAAACATGTTGCCTGACTCAGTACTTGAACTTTGCATCAAGTATCTCGCCTTCTTCTTCTTCTTCTCCTCCTCCTCATTTTCTACAATCAGCAGTGGGGTGTTTGGAATGTGTTGTTTAGGAGGAGGGTGATTGTGTTGGCCTCTGTAAGTTACGATCACCTTGGTTGAGTCTTTTGAGCTTTTCTCAACATGTCTCTTTGCTGGACAATTTTCTACTTCACTACATGAATAGTAGATCTTTCCAGTTGGATTCGTCGTACACTTTGTCCATTTCCCATGATCCGCCTTACTCAATTCCTCAGCCAATATTTCATGTCTTATATTTATCTTTCTGTGGTAAATAAACATGTTGCCCGACTCAGTACTTGAACTTTGCATCGAGTATCTCGCCTTCTTCTTCTTCTCCTCCTCCTCCTCATGTTCTACAATAACCAGTGGGGTGTTTGGAATAGTTTCAGTTTGGTTTTCTTGGTTACGGGGTTGAATTCTTGAATTGGTATTCAGGTTCTTGGCAAGACTGATAACTTCATCTAACCCAAAGTAAAGCTTGTTTTCCATGGCGAATGCATCTGTAAAATCACCAACACAATTTCTTTCTTCTTGGAAAAGAATTGTGTTAACAGAGTTGCCATCCCCATGAACACTGTGATCAACAAGAGCAGAGTTGCCATCCTCATGAACACCGTGATCGACAAGAGCACTAACAGAGTTCTTCGTCTTGCTGCAACTTCTCACAATTGCCCATAAATCCCAGTCATTTTCGTTTTCAGCCATTGATAACTTTTTTTTCAAGGGGAAGGCTTCATTCAGTAATGCAGGAAATTTCAAATCCAAACAGTTCGGTTATGGGCAGTTCATTTTTTAACTATTTATAACGAAATTTCAAGAATTATAGAAACAGATAATCACATTGTTTAATAACCCCTTTTCTTTAAAAATAAAATGAAATGAAATTATATGTATATTTTGAAAAATATTATTCTAGAAATTTAAGTTTCTTAAAAAAAAAAAGAGGGAGTAAAACGACTTTCAAGTTTCAACGTTGAAGTAGGTAAAATAAATTTTACATGAGATATTCCATATTAATTGTGTTGTTTTTACGTTTTAACATACCTCATTTTTACTCTTAACTTATGTCACCCTATATTACATAGTATTTATCTTAGATTATATACAAATATATTTAAAATAATATTTTTTTGCTCACGTATTGAACACAAGAAAATAAGTAAGAAATTTACTTATTTTCCTAGAAAAAAGTTATGGAAAACATTTTCCTTCCTATCAAACACACCTTTAATCATGTTACTATGTTACTTTAGGGACATGTTTGGCCATAGATATTGCTAAAAATATTTGGAGAAAAAACTTGGAAAATTTTCTTATACATTGCATCTCTAATGTTATGAAATATATTAGGCATTTAAAATGTTACACTTTGTTTCGAAAGTTGTTACATGTTATTTCATAATATATGCTATTTTAGTGAAACATATTTAAATTATTTTAATCTAGTATCATTGGATTAATATTTAGTCTTTGAATTGATGGAAATAGTAATTTGTTCAGCTTACATAAGATATCACCAAGACTTTGTGGCAGCATCGAAATTTCAGAGGTGTTGATTGATCATCTAGTCATTTAATTTTGGGTTATTTGTCATGAAGTCATTGCTTCTTTTGCTTTTTTCTTCAAAAATCGTTTTGCTTTATCTAATTAAGCTTCTATAGTCGTTTAGGCAAATATTATATTTATTTAGTAAATATGTCTCTTAACTTGACTTCAAATTTTAACTTTGACCTTAAACTTTCAAAGTGCACAATGAGGCACTTTAACTATCCAACCTTAAATAAAAACACACTAAGGTAGCTCCGCCCCTGGTTAGATACCATATGACTTACTACGGCACAAAAGAATTTCAACTAGCTTGAATTACAAATAAGGGTGTACATTTGGTTTTGTATTATTCAGTTTGAATTTTTTGATTTTTGATTTTGAAGAACTGTAACCTGATCCGAATCAAAATAAATTTGGTTTGGTTTAGTTTTTCTCTTTTCGGTTTGATTTTTTTTCAGTTCACATATTTGATTGTATCAATAATTAGAAACATTATTAAAGTTTTTATATATATATATATATAAGGAACGAGATTGAATCTCTTAAATATACTTTTGAATATAAATCACAAGTAAAACGTAAAACACAATACTTAAAAGTATATCAATTATAGATGTCCAAACATTAAAAATAAACAAAATCATAATGAAAAATAATAACTAAAAAGGACAAAAGTAGTTAACTCCAGCTTAATTCTAAATTCTAAAACCAATCCAAATTAGAATTCGGTTCCTAATTACAACGTTGAGGTAGAAGAGGGAAGATCTTTTCCCTCTTCTACCTAATGCGCAGCAGCATTAGGTCTCCTGTGTACCATTGGAATGTTGGTTAGGAGGAGGGTGATTGTGTTGGCCTCTGTAAGATACGATCACCTTGGTTGAATCTTTTGAGCTTTGCTCAACATGTCTCTTTGCTGGACATTTTTTTTTAACTTCACTACATGAATAGTAGGTCTTTCCAGTTGGACTCGTAGTATTCTTTCTCCATCTCCATTGATCCGCCTTCCCTAATTCCTCAGCCAATATTTCATATCTTTCAGTTCTCTTCCCGCGGTAAATAAACGCGTTGTCCTCCTCCTCGTGTTCTACAATCTCTAGTGGGGTGTTTGGAATAGTTTCCGTTTGGTTGTGGGGTTCAATTCTTGAATTGGTGGTATTCAGGTTATTGGCAAGACTGATAACTTCATCTAACCCAAAGTAATGCTTGTTTTCCATGGCGAATGTGTCTCTAAAATCACCAACACTATTGCATTCTTTTAGAAAAAGAGTTGTGTCTTGTGTGTTGTTAACAGAGTTGCCATCCTCATTAACACTACTGTGATCGACAAGAGCAGAGTTGACATGATTAGGATCCTCATGAACACTATGATCGACATGAGCAGAGTTGTTCATCTTGCTGCAACTTCTCACAACTGCCCATATACCCCCGTCATTTTCGTTTTCAGCCATTCACAACTTTTTTCTAGAGGAAGGCTTGTTCAGCTCGACCCAATGGTTAGTTAATCGAGAAACACGATCTAAAGGTGGCCGGTAGAAGAAAAAGACAGGCAGCAAAAGAGCCTTTTTCTTCTCTCTTGCTCTCTCAAAAAAATCTCTTTCAAAGACAATACTAATGAGCAATTGAATAATTCTCTCAAATTATCCTATTTATAGAGCGGTGCTAAAGTCAAAACCAACTCCAAATAGGATTATAATTTCAATCTTTTTTTAATAAGATTGGAAACAAAAAAAAAGAGAATAATTCCAATCCTTTTCTAGTTAGAATAAAGGCTTAGTTTAGTTTTTTTTTTTTTTGTTGATAATTTATCTTTCGAGATACTATAGGCCCTCGAAATTTACGCTTTGATGAAAATTAGCACTTCAAAATGATGACATGTTTAACTTGGTTGTAAATAAGCAGGTGTTGATGAACATACTGTCGACTTGAGGGGTACTGGGACAAGGAGCTTGCTTGGATGCTTTATTTGCTATAATGCTGGATTCATCTGCAAATCAGGCTGTAGATATCTTTTCTTTTGATTTATTATTGACAGAAGTGGAGCATAAAACAAATGATCTCATGTCTGAATCATTCAGATCTACATTACGTGCAAACAAAGAAGAAAAGTTCTATTTCGAATCTTTTAATTAAGTGTTTATAAGTTTCAACATCTAAAATCATTAAAGAGAATTGGTCCAATTTCATTATTGATTCTTTATCTCAATACTTAGGGGTCGTTTGGTTGGGAGTATAAGTTATTCCGAGATAAGTTGGGAATAACTTATCCATCCCTATAAAATAAATGATGTAATAAATAATCCCATGACTATCTAATACCTCCCACCAAAGATAAAATTATTCTACATTTTATCTTGAGATTATTATACCTTATACTTCACGCCAAACAATCTAATGTAGTGATTATCCTATCTATAATATCACTCATTGTACATAACATGCTGAACTGAAAAATTGCAAATGCTCAATTGAAGATTTGTACTTTCTGTTGTTTCATATAACTCTTCGGTATGCAACTCTGTATCATATAACTGCTTAACTGATCATTAGGTTCAGTTCTTGCTGCTTCTAGGAACAAAAAGAAAAATAGCAGAAAATGATCCTATTTCAGTTTCAATGTAACAGTGACTAGATGAAGAAGCAGTAGTGTAGTTAGAAACAATCCGGACTGAGTAATTACTAGGGCACAAAAGAAGAGGAAGATGGGTCTTCGGGTGGCGCAGCAGCATTAGGGCTCCTGTGTTGGTTAGGAGGAGGGTGATTGTGTTCGCCTTTGTAAGTTACAATCACCTTGGTTGGATCTGTTGAGCTTTGCTCAACATGTCTCTTTGCTGGACATTTTTTTTTAAATTCACTACACAAATAGTAGTTCTTTCCAGTTGTACTCGTTTTATTCATTATCCATCTCCACTGTTCCGCCTTCCCAAATTCCTCATACAATATTTCATGTCTTTCAATTCTCTTGCCTGACTCAGTACTTGAACTTTGCATCGAGTATCTCGCCTTCTTCTTCTTCTTCTTCTCTTCCTCATGTTCTATAATCACCAGTGGGGTGTTTGGAATAGTTTCAGTTTGGTTTTCTTGGTTGTGGGGTGCAATTCTTGAATTGGTATTCAGGTTCCTGGAAAGACTGATAACTTCATCTAACCCAAAGTAACGCTTGTTTTCCATGGCGAATGCGTCTTTAAAATCACCAACACAATTTCTTTCTTCTTGGAAAAGACTTGTGTTAACAGAGTTGCCATCCTCATGAACAGTGTGATCGACAAGAGCAGAGTAGCCATCCTCATGAACAGTGTGATCGACAAGAGAAGAGTTGCTCATCTTGCTGCAACTTCTCACAATTGCCCCTAAATCCCAGTCATTTTCGTTTTCAGCCATTGACAACTTCTTTTTTTCAAGGGGAAGGCTTCATTCAGTAATGCAGGAAATTTCAAAACCAAACAGATCGTTTATATGGGCAGTTCATTTTCTAACTATTTATGTAACAAAATTTCAAGAATTATAGAAACAGAAACTTAATTACATTGTATTTTAACCGCTTTTTTAAAAATAAAATAAAATTAAATGTACTTATATTTGATCAAGTGGTTGGAGGCACCAAGGGCCAATTCTCATGCACCCAATTAATACTCTGTAATACTGCTCTTAGATTTTAAATTCACTTAATTCCTAGCCCTAAATAGGTGATATCAACTTTTTGGGATTAAGTTTTAAGGTGTGTTTGGCACAAAGAAAAATATTTTTAAATTTTCTCATGTTTCGATTAGTCAAACATTTTGAAAAAATATTATTCTAGGAATCCAAGTTTCTTTTAAAAAAAAGGAAGAAGAGGGAGTAAAAGTATGAAATAATTTCATTATTATCTAATACCTCCAATCAAACATAAGATAAAATAATCCTACATTTTATGTTGGATTATTATACCTTATACTTCACATTAATCGACTCTAATATAGTGTTTATCCTATCTATAATATAACTCATTGTACAGAACATGCTGAACTGAAAAATTGCAAATGCGATTTGTACTTTCTGTTGTTTCATATAACTCATAGGTCTGCAACTCTGTTAGTAAGCAAATGAATACTATTTTCTTGAAGTTATTATTATGCGAATGATAACTGCTTAACTGATAATTTGGTTCAGTTCTTGCTGCTTCTAGGGACAACGGAAATACCAGTAATTCTTGAAAGTGATAGAGATGCCAACGGAAAAGCTTGATTACTATATTAGAAAGTAATAACACTAGGAATTCAAAATTCCAAATAAAAGATCCTATTTCAGTTTCAATATATAACAGTGACTAGATCAAGAAGCAGTAGTCTAGTTAGAAACAATCTACTCATGACTTACTACGGCACAAAAGAATTTCTCTTGTAAAAAACTGACTTGTTAGTTGAATAACAAAATAGTAGAGGTAGAAGAGGGAAAAGATGGGTCTTCCACTAGCGCAGCAACATTAGGGCTCCAATTCCATTGCAATGTGTTTGTTGGTTAGGACTTGGGAGGAGGGTGATTGTGTTGGCCTTTGTAAGTTACGATCACCCTGTTTGGATCTTTTGAGCTTTCCTCAACATGTCTCTTTGCTGGACAATCTTCAACTTCATTACACGTATAGTACTTCTTTCCAGTTTGATTCGACCCATGCTTTTTCCATCTCCATTGATCCGCCTTCCACAATTCCTCAGCCAATAATTCATGTGTTTCAGTTTTCTTCCCACGGTTAGCAAACGCGTTGCCTGACTGATCAGTACTTGAACTTAGCATCGAGTATCTCGCCTTCTTCTTCTCCTCATGTTCTACAACCATCAGTGGTGTGTTTGGAATAGTTTCAATTTGGTTTTCTTGGTTGTGGGGTTCAATTCTTGAATTGGTGGTATTCAGGTTCTTGGAAAGACTGATAACTTCATCTAACCCAAAGTAACGCTTGTTTTCCATGGCGAATGCGTCTCTAAAATCACCAACACTACTACTTTCTTCTTGGAAAAAGACTTGTAGCAGAGCTGCCATCCTCATGAACACTGTGATCGACAAGAGCAGAGTTGTTTTCTTTATCAGCCATTGACAGCTTTTTTGTAGGGGAAGGATTCATTCAGTAATGCACGAAATTTCAAACCCAAACAGTCCGTTTTATAACTATTTATGTAACCAAATTTCAAGAACTATAGAAACAGAAACTTAATTACATTGTTTTTTAACCTCTTGTTTTAAAAAATAAAATAAAATGAAATTATACGTATATTTGGTTTAAGTGGTTAGAGGCACCAAGGGCCAATTCTCATGCACCAAATTAAGTTCGCTTGAACACTCGCACTCCGCACGGGGCTCAGTTATGCACGTGCTGAGTTCTCCTCCCTACGTATTCGTGGCCTCTGCGTCATCCTCAAGTTCCTCCGATCCGTTGCCGAGTCCGATACTACCATCAACCTCTTCTGTCACAGCCAATCCATTCCCGATCTTCAAGGTCTCCTCCATTCTCTGAACCCTAGGGTTTCGACATTGAATGATTTTTCGTTTTCTATATGTTCAATCACAGCAACTTATGAAAATATAACTCAATGTTATCTGCTATTGGTTAATCGAAACTTTGATATAGAAGTTAGTTATATCAGTCGACATAATGATGTTAATCGAAAGTTGGGGAAATGTAATTGAGATTCATCTGCTGACAAATGTGCTGCAAGGTGTTTAAGCAACAAGAAGTTTTACTTGTTTAAAATCCATTTTGAACTCAGACGAACTCTGATGGGGTTGGATTTGGCTTTACGGATGGTTCGGTTAGGTGTTTATGTTAGCTCATTAGAATATCATTAAAATGCATAAAATTCGAGCTGAATTTCGTTTCCTTACTACAATATTTTGTATCAACTCTGAAGCTTTCAAAAGGTATTGAAGTCGTTTGTATAAGCTTCAATCTATTCTTAAGATTGTACGCACAACTGTACTAGCAAGTTACAAACAAATGTTTAGTATCTTCTCGAGTTGAAATGTTGGTTTTGCATTGATGAGACTTTAGGTGCAAGTATTAGAGTGATAACTTGGTATTTGAATGTAAGGGCTGCCTATTCAATTTTTGTTTCATTCCATTTAAAGCAAGTCAAACGATGTTGTCTTTTGCCTTGTTCACATTCGATAGAATCTGAGACTTCTGCTGAATACAGCTGAAGCCACAACACCTATGAAATGCAGTAACAACTTATTAATCTTGGAGTTTTAGAGGAAGTGACACTTATTCCGTTCATACACACTTATATTCTCATTGATGTTTAGTCTGTGATACTCTTGAGGTAAAATATTCCAGTTTCTGTTGAATGGTTGAAACTTACATTAGTATAGCTCTTATATTCATGATTCTGAACTGGTATTTACAGGGATATTGATTATTGAGTATATGTATATCAAGTTTCAACATTACTTTGCTTAATTTAGTACAGAGGACCAGAGTGTTAGAGTCCGAGCTATGCAACAGTGGTTCAAGTTCTTTTTAGACATTTCTTGAGAGATACAGAGGACCAGAGTGTTACCAGTCTAGACCACATATTCACCGTGGAATCTATGGAAATAACCAGTCCGTCAACTGATTCTGAAATTTCTCTAGCACTTAGAGTTCTGGAAGGTTGTTGTCTGATTCATTGTGAGAGTAATGTTTTGGCCCATGAGTACAACAAGGCAATCCCGGTAAAGTTCCATATTCATACCAGCATTTGATCTGATGACTTTCTTCTTCTAATCATGCCTCAGTAAGCTGGAAACTATAAGAGTCTTTAAATGATTCTGAAATTATCTGTTCCATGGCATTTTTGCAGCTACTTTTGGTAGTTGTAATAGAGGCTTAGTTTTGTTCCTTTTATTTTATTTTTGATAATTTACCTTTCGAGATTATTTATGCCCTCGAAATTTACGCTTTCATGAAAATTAGCACTTCAAAATGATGACATGTTTAATTTGGTTGGAAATAAGCAGGTGTTGATGAACATACTGTCGACTCGGTACTGGGACAAGGAGCTTGCTTGGATGCTTTAATTGCTATAATGCTGGATTCATCTGCAAATCAGGCGGTAGATATCTTTTCTATTGACTCATCATTGACAGAAGTGGTCTAGAACTAGTTTTTTTGTTACCTGTAATACTTATTTGAAAAGAGTTTGGTAGGAGATTTTTTCTATATTCAGTTAGTATTGAGGAAATCATCCAAAAAAAGTCTATAATAAGTGGCCGCATCTGGATATGTTTCCCACATTTGCAAAGTGACACCTGTTTAAAAAATTCCTAGTGCATTAAACTTATTGGCAGTGGATTGTGAAATCCCTCTCCCTCAAGTTTGTAGATCCAAGATAGACTAGTTGGCTCCAACTGCAGTGTCCATAAAACTCGGGTGAAGAGGTTAGTCGTAGAGAAAGAAGAGGATGAGAGGGTGTATTGGTAGTACAGATGCATTCTTTGTTCCCCTATGTTCAAGCCGGGAGCCCTTTAAGAGTATTTTAAGCATGAGGAATTTAAGACAATTGCTTCGTCTGTCTTATAAGTAAAGGGTAACTATCTAATGGCCTTGGATTCGACAACAGGTCGAGTTTACATATGGCTCATTACACTACAAGTTTCTCATTTTGGTTAGTTCAACTTTTCCAACTTCATGTTTGTTGACCTTCAGTCATTTCTTCATATCCACCAAATAACATTGGTGAACAATGATATGACGAACTTGTCACTCCTTAAAAAGAAAAGATGTCCTAAATCATATAGCTGTGCATTGACGAAACATAGAACAACACAAAAAGATTGCCTCGCTATTACACATTTTGCAAAGTTGTTTTAGCTTATATGCTCTGATCATTAGGTTCAGTTCTTGCTGCTTCTTGGAACAAAGGAAATACTAGTGATTCTTGAAAATGATAGAGATGCAAAGGGAAAAGCTTGATTACTATATTAGAAAGAATAACACTAGAAATTCAAAAATCCAAATAGAAGATCCTATTTCTGTTTCAACAGTGACTAGTTCAAGACGCAGTAGTCTAGTTAGAAACAATCCCGACTGGCTTGTTAGTTGAATAACAAAGTAGAGGTAGAAGAGGGAAAAGATGGGTCTTCCACTGGCGCAGCAGCTTTAGGACTCCCGTGTACCATTGCAATGTGTTGGTTAGGAGGAGGGTGATTATGTTGGCCTCTATAAGTTACAATCACCTTGTTTGGATCTGTTGAGCTTTTCTGAATATGTCTCCTTGCCGGACAATCGTTAGCTTCATTACACCTATAGTAGCTCTTCAGAAAAGTCGAATCACCAGTTCGCTTCATCCCATACTTTCTCCATCTCCATTGATCTGCCTCACTCAATTTCTCAGCCAATAGTTCATATCTTTCAGTGCTCTTCCCGCGGTAACAAAACGCCTTGCCTGCCTCAGTACTTGGACTCTGCATCGAGTATCTCACCTTCTTGTTCTTCTTCTTCTCCTCCTCGTGTTCTACAATCACCAGTGGTGTGTTTGGAATAGTTTCAGTTTGGTTTTCTTGGTTGTGGGGTTGAATTCTTGAATTGGTATTCAGGTTCTTGGAAAGACTGATAACTTCATCTAACCCAAAGTAATGCTTGTTTTCCGTGACGAACGAGTCAGTAAAATCACCGACACAATCAGTTTCTTCTTGCAGAAGAGTTGTGTTTTGTGTGTTGTTAACAGAGTTAGCATGAGTAGGATCCTCATGAACACTGTGATCGACAAGAACAGAGGTATTATTAACGTTGATATCATCATGAACAGAGTTGTTCGTCCTACCGCAACTTCTCACAACTGCCCATAAATCCCAATCGTTTTCGTTTTCAGCCATTGAAAGCCTTGTTGAAGGGGAAGGCTTCATTCATTAATGTAGGATTGTCTCTCTGTATATATGGATTTAGTTTCCATTGAAAACTTTCTTCTAGGGGAAGGCTTCATTAATGCTGGATTCTATATATATGGATTTTGTTTCCATTGGGAAATGGAGTTTAAACAAACTGTTTGGATCCGTTCCTATACAAGGCGAGAGATTTATTACTAATTCGATTCTTGAACTATTATTTAGGTAAGGAAATTTGAAGAGTTATGGAAATAAATTTAGAAACTTAATTACATTGTTTTCTAACCCTTTTTTTAAGTGATTGGAGGCACCATATTTTACTTTTTAAATATTTCCTTATTTGAACTATATTAGAAAATCCTATTACTTTTTAAATATTTCCTTATTTGAACTATATTAGAAAATCCTATTACTTTTTAAATATTTCCTTATTTGAACTATATTAGAAAATCCTATTACTTTTTAAATATTTCCTTATTTGAACTATATTAGAAAATCCTATTACTTTTTAAATATTTCCTTATTTGAACTATATTAGAAAATCCTATTACTTTTTAAATATTTCCTTATTTGAACTATATTAGAAGTCCTAAACATTTATTACTTTAAAATTAATAGTTTTTTACTTTATATTAATTTTACTTAAATTATGGTAAATAGAAGAAATAAAAATATTAAAGAAAGACGTTCACTTTTATTATTTAGATCTATATAACATTTATTATTAGGGAAAAGAACTCATATATCCCAAAAAGAGAAATTATTTACAAGGATATATATTTTGATGGTATCAAAGAGGAAGAAACAATGTTTCAATGAAAACATTAAAATTGTTCAATTATTGTTTGATATATATATATGACGGTATCAAGGATTAGTGGTTCAATAAATAAAACAAAGGGGCAGTCGGATAAATAGTTTGAGCGGTGAGTCTAATCAGTTAAATATATTTGATTGGATCGAATTTGTGTAGCTTTTCCTTTATTATAATGTCAATAGTTATTATTTTTAATAATTTTATTGATTGATGTGACACACATGCCATGTATACTAAACTATCTACTACAAACATATCACCGACCATATGGATACACCATTCTCGTTCATGCTACCCAAAAACAATTTACCAGAACATACCACCAGGCACCAGCAATGCTCCTTTGTTTTGGTTTTTGGACTCTTTGGAACAACTGCAATGACAACTATTTCAACCGTATAGATAATTCCCGAACCATAGGCTAACCTCTACCGCTCTTTCACATAATTTTCATTCGATAATTATTTAAACAGATGCTAAGGAAATTAACCGAATACTGCAATATTTTCATCACATTTATGATTGCAGGTGGCTCCTCCGCCAGCTTCTTGATTTGAGAATGGTGCACTCGTACAGAGAGGCAAATGAAGTAGCAGATCTACTCACGAAAATTATCTCTGCATCTGTTTTTTTTTTTTAACACTATCTTTTTTGCAAGAACCATCCACTCCTTGTGACTGCCGCTCTCGAAGTTGATCAATGAGGGGATGTCAAACAACGGCTTATACAACCTTCACTTCTACTGCTATTTCTAGGCCTTTGACGTTTGCTGTAATAGTTTTAAGTTTTGTATAAAAGTATCTTTCATGACAACTATTGAAAAATATGAGTCGTCGGAGTGGTGATGTATATGAAAAAAGTATTTGAATATATAGGTTAAAATTTCTCCCAAATTATCACCATTTTGCAAGTATTTACCTAAATTATTTGGTGTTCACAAAATTATGATGAACTCATTATGTTAAACAAATTCGTTTTTAAAGATTGTTATCCCATATGCACTCTCAACAAATTATTTTACCATATATCCAATCGAAATTGTTTTACTCTAACGGAAATAATAGTCAAAAGAATTATAAAAACATACAAAAATTTTAAGTATGAAATTCACAAAACAATTCTATTCACTCGTAACATTATGTGATAAGTGAACTTACTATAAATAAAAACAAATATTCTGGGTTATATTTTCTTTTTATCAAAGTTAATTCTATTTCAAAACTTCTAATTAAATGATAATGTAATATCAAAAAAAAGAGGGGGAAAAAGTTTTTTTTATTTAATTTTTAGTCTAAAGGAAAGGGGGAAAAAACGAGAAAAGAGACGAAATTTCAGTTTCTCCTTTTAACGCCGAGCTGGAAAGAGCGGTGAAGACACCGGAGCGAAGAAATGTATCTAAAAGCTCCGTTTTGGAGCAAAGATTCGAACTCTGAATCTCAGACGGAATCTCCGTCGGCGGTGGCGGAGCTAATAAGCTCTCTTGAACGGCAGAGACTATACAGGGAGGTGACGCTCGCACTCCGCACAGGACTCAGTGATGCACGTGCTGAGTTCTCCTTCCTCCGTATTCGTGGCCTCCGCGTCATCCTCAAGTTCCTCCGATCCGTGGCCGAGTCCGATACTACCATCAACCTCTTCTGTCACAGCCAATCCATTCCCGATCTTCAAGGTTTTCCTCCATTCTCTTCACCCTAGGGTTTCGATGTTCAATGATTTTTCGTTTTATTTATATTTCAATTGCAGCAACTTATGAAAATATAATTGATGTTACTTATCTCCAATTGGTTAACCGAAACATTGATGGGGAAGTTGGTTATATAGATGTGAATGTGGAAATTCTATAATGACATTAATGGGAAATTGGGAATATGTAGTTGAGGTTCATCTTCTGACAAATGTGCTGCAAGTAGTTTAGGAAAAAAGAAGTTTTGCTTGTCTAAATCCATTTATACCGCAGATGAACTCTTATGGAATTGGTTTTGGCTTCACGGAGAGGTTCAGTTAGGTGTTATGTCAGCTCATTATAAGATCATTAGAAGGCATGAAATCTGAGCTGCATTTCTTGTTCTTACTACAATATTTTGAATCTACTCTGAAGTTTTCAAAAGGTATTAAAGTCGTTCGTTTAAGATTGTTCGCACAACTGTATTAGCAGGTTACGAACAGATGTTTGGTTTCTTCTCGAGTTGGAATGCTTGTTTAGTATTGATGAGGATTCAGGTGCAAGTAGTAAACGATAAATTGGTATTTGCATGTAAGGGAAGCCTGTTCAATTACTGTTCCATTCTATTTAAAACAAGTCAAACAATGTTGTTTTTAACTTGTTCAGATTCGATAAGGATCTGAGACTTCAGCTGGACACAGATGAAGCCAGAACAGCTGTGAAATGCAGTAACTACTAATTAATCTTGGAACTTTAGGGGCAGTGACACCTATTCCGTTCATATACTTATATTCTCATTGATGCTTATTCTGTAATTTTCTGGGGTGAAACCTTCTAGTTTCTGTTGAATGGTTGAAACTTACATCAGAAAATCTTCTAGTTTCGAGATTACTTTGCTTAATTTAGAAAAATGGATCAGGCTATTAACTGTGTGAGCTATGTAACAGTGGTTCCAGTTCTTTTCAAACATTCCTTGAGAGATACAGAGGACCAGAATGTTACCAGTCTAGACCACATATTTACTGTGGAACCTATGGAAATAACCAGCCCATCAACTGATTCTGAAGTTTCTCTAGCACTTAGAGTTCTGGAAGGTTGTTGTCTGATTCACTGCGAGAGTAATGTTTTGGCCCATCAGTACAAGGCAATCCCGGTAAAGTTCCCCCTATACATCATATCTTCTCACCAGAATTTGATCTGATAACTTTTTTCTTCTCTAATCATGGCTCCCACTTAGCTGGAAACTATAAGCGTCTTCAAATGATTCTGAAATTATCTGTTCCATGGCATTTTTGCTGCTATCTTTGGTAGTTGATAAAGAGGCTTAGCTGTTCTCTCTCTCCTTTTTTGTTGATAATTTACCTTTGGAGATTATTTATGCCCTCAAATTTACACTTTCATGAATATAAGCACTTCAAAATGATGGCATATTTAACTTGATTGGAAATAAGCAGGTGTTGATGAACATATTGTCGACTCGAGGGGTACTGGGACAAGGAGCATGCTTGGATGCTTTAATTGCTATAATGCTGGATTCATCTGCCAATCAGGCGGTAGATATTTTTTCTTTTGACTTATTATTGACAGAAGTGGTCTAGAACCAGTTCTTTTTCCCTGTAATACTCATTTGAAAAGAGTTTGGTATGAGATGCTTTCTATATTCAGTTAGTATTGAGGAGATCATCCAAAAAAAGTGTTTACTTAAGTGGCCACATCTGGATAGTTTCCTCATTTAACTGAAGAATACAAGATAAAAAATACTTGTGGTTTTAAAGAAGTAGGTTCAATTCAAGATTTATGCATCTCCATATCCATTTAATGCTTAGATGATCTGTACTTTGTTTATTTAGTAATTAAGCCCATTATTTAATCCACTGGTTGGTGATGTACTAGGATTTTGAGGCTTGCAATGGCATTGAGGAAGTTGCCATACTGATTAGAGACAAACAAGTAGATGAAAAATTGAGGTATTTCATCTCTTTAAGCTCGTTTCTTTTTAATTATGACATAAAATCTCTTGCAATGTTCATGCCGTTCTAATCATATTGACTTTCTTTTCCATCAAGATCATACTGCATGTTAGTTCTAGTGTTTCCACCCTTTCCTTTTTTCCTCGTGGAAGTTGGAGCTGGTACTCCCTCCTCGTCTCTCGGGTGGTTTAGAAAATATTTTGGTGGTGTATGGCTGATACCTAGGGAAGTATGATAGTGCCATTCCAATCTAGGAAAAAAAGAAGCAAAACCGTGACATGAAGGCTTGAATTCGCTTAGCAACTCTGCTTGAATTGTTCTGAGAATTATTAATTTTTCCAGGCTTAAGTGTGGAGAATTTCTACTGCTTCTCATTGGACATGTAAACGGGAGAGAGAGGTCTCCCATGGCAACAATTCATGAAGACATAAGGCGATTTCTAGGTGAGAAATCTGCATCATTGATATGGGCAGCTAGTCAATTTGGTTCAACCCTTGATCCAGAACAGAGATTGACAGCTTTGCAAATTCAAGGCCGTAGAGTACTGGAGTCAATAGACCTTTATTGACCATAAAGTTTCAGCAATATTTGTCCCTGTGTGATGTCCAGAAGCTTCAGAGAAGTGGCAATTTCACTTGGAGGCATATCCTTGCAACAAGGATCGACTACTAGGCTATAATAGGAAGATAAGTTAATTCTGGTGAGATTACACTACCACAATGTGAATAATTGTGAATTGTTTGTTCTATACAAAAGTACAATGCTCTCTAGTTTTCTGCTCTTATTTGTGATGTCAATATATTTAACATTTCATAAATCTCATCTGTTTTTTTATGAGATGTATCACAAGCTACAAATACGTGTATTTCACCTTTATCTTCAAGCCAACTACATCCAGGATTTTTGTGCATTTTCCTCTCATTGATGAGTTGTCTTATTTTGGCAAGATCACCCCATCTGCCTACAGAAGCATATAAATTTGCTACCATGACATGGTTCCCTGTGTTTCCTGGTTCTAGCTTGATAAGCTTGTTTGCCGCAATTTCACCTACCTCAAGATTCCCATGGATAACGCAGCCTCCAAGCAAGGCACCCCAGATCACTGTATCAGGATCCAAAGGCATCTCGTTAACGACCTTCAATGCTTCATTTATCTTACCTGTCCGACTTAAAAGGTCAACCATGCATGTGTAGTGTTTTAATGTTGGTTTCACATTATAAGATCTCATTAAATTGAAGAATTCAAGCCCCGTCTCTACTAGTCCTGCATGGACACATGAAGAAAGAGCTGACAAGAAGGTTATGTCGTCAGGTATGAATCCATTGTTTAGTATTCTGCGGAAGAACGCAATTCCTTCCTCCCCATGTCCGTGCATAGCGTATGCAGTAAGCATTGTATTCTCCGTGACCAAGTTATACTTTTTAATGTTATCATAAGCCAGTCTAGCATGCTTAACACATCCACATTTTGCATACATGTCAACAACAGCCGATCCTATGTGGGTGTTTGAGTCATATCCAAACCTAATTGCATAAGCATGAATCTGTTTTCCACGGTCAAGAGTTGCTAACCTCGAGCAGGCGGGTAATACTGTTCCAATCGTGTAAATATCAGGTCTCAAACCTGAGGATTGCATTTCCAGAAACAACTGCAGAGCTGACTCGTTATGGGCGTTCTCAACATGGCCAGCAATAATACTATTCCAAGTGTAGATATTTGGATCAAATCCGTCTGCCTTCATCTTCTCAAGAGTGGATTCAACACTAACCATGTCGTCAGAGCGGGCATAGCCAGATATCAAAGCGTTCCAAGTCGATATATCCCTCTCATTTACCTCATCAAAAGCTTTCTGAGCAGCACCAACATCCAGACACTTGCTATACAACTCTACAAGTGCCCCACCAACAAAAGGATCTGTTTGCAGACCCCTACCAATTGCATAGGAATGTATCTCCTTCCCACGTCGTAACAACCCCATATCAGCACAAGCAGCAAGGGCACTGCCAAGTGTGAATGAATCTGCTTCAATTTCTTCCTTCTGCATTACCTGGTTAAACATATTCAAAGCTTCATTGAACTTAAAGTTGTTTACATAACCTGAAATCATTGAATTCCATGAAATTATATCCTCACACTTCCCTTCATGTTCCATTTGATAAAACAGCTCTTGACCCTTTGAAATTTCTCCATTCTCAAAGTATCCCACTAACATAGTGTTGTAAGACACATCATTTTTCATCGAATACATTGAAAATATTAGGAGGGCATTCTCCATATCCCCACACCTCCTATAAACATCAATTAAGCCATTAACAACGAAAGAGTTAGACATCAATTCATGTCTGGTGAGATATCCATGAATTTCTTTTCCCAAATATAGCATTTGTAATCTACCACAAGCAGGAAGTACACTCGCCAATGTCTGGGCATTTGGCTGGAATCTAGCAACTTGCATTCTGTAGAGATATTCAATGGCCTCTTCGTCGTATCCATTCTGTGAAAATCCACCAACCAAAGCACTCCAAGAAATAAAATTTGGAGTGAAATGGTCCTCAGCAGACATCTTATTAAAAACTTCAAGAGCTTCAGTTAACATTCCATTGGCAGCAAAAGCAGTAATAACTGAATTCCAAGAAACACAATCCCTCTTCAACATTTTGTTCAAAACCTCTTTCGCATTATCCAAACTCCCACATTTCCCATACATATCAATCAAAGCATTGCCCACATAAACATTGGATGCAAATCCATACTTTATCACTGTACCATGTAATTGCTTGCCCAATTCAACGCCACCATAACCACAACAAATCTTCAACACCACCGGGAACAAGAAAAACTCCAATTCAAACTCCTCAAATCGCACCTGATTAAAACACTCAAAAGCTTCCTCGAAAAGCCCATTACTTAAATAGACATTAAGAATAGCTGTCCACGAATACAAGTTTCTTTCACGCATTTTATCAAACAGTTGGACTGCATCATCAAAACAACCACATTTCCCATACATCTGAAGCAGCTTAGTTTCAACAAACTCGTGTCCATGAAACCCATTTTTGAGTGCTTGTGCGTGGACTTGTTTACCCAGGTTGGGGCATTTGCAGGAATCAAGAACTGAAGCATAGCTGCTTGAACTTAAAAAGTCATCCAAAGGAGAGAAATGAGCCTGCTCCGTCGAGATGGGCGGTGGAAAATCCCGTCGGCGAGGTAGATTTGATTTCTTAAAGGAAATCTTAGAAGCTCTGAAATTAAAGGAATCATTGGGTGGCTGTAATGGGAGTGGCGGAGCAATGGGTTCAAACAGGGAGACCATTTCGAGCATAATGTGAAGCGGGGATATTCCAACTTCACATTTACACAATTCGATAAAAGAAAATAAATAATCCTAATGTTTTTCATTTTACTTTGGTCCTATACTAAATATATAGTTTCTTATTTTAGAATTTTATAATACTATTATTAATCACAAATACTCTCTTCATTTTAATTTGTTTAATTATGATATACGAAGTTTAAAAAAATAAAAAAAATTATTGAATCTTGCTATTTTAAACTAAAAACATGTGAAATATAACAAAATATCCTTTAGTTTTGTGATATTAGACAAATCATGTGAAAAACTAAATTAAAATAGTAACAAAAAAAAGGGCATTCTTTTTAATAAAAAAAAAAGTAAGATAAATGCGAGGAACTAATGAACTTTTGATTCCACATGTCTAAAGTAGTATGACGTGGGTACACATGTTAAAAATTACATATTGCCTAAATTTGGGTATTTGTGCATATTCCTTTGTCCAATAATATTTGTCAATTATTAATTTTACACACTTCTTAATAAATTATAAATAGTAGGATAATTTTACTATATTACCCTTTGATATAATAGATACAATATTGTGAAAAATATAATAGAGAAATGACTATAATTAATGATAAGGGTAAATTATGAATTAAGTATAAAATTATACATTCATTTCATAAAATGGACAAATATTGTTGGACACATCTCAAAATAATATAATGGACAACTATTATTGAATGGAGAGAGTAATAATATTAATAAAAATAATTAATATACTCACTAAAACTTCACAAATAATTTATTTTTTTTAAAATAGCCTTATTCCTATTTGAATATAGAGAAATTATTTTTGATATTACCACCGACTTAAGTAACGCAAACAAATGATATAGGTGAGAAAATATTTTTTTTAGCTTGTTGAATAAAATGGACATGTGACTGAGAAAATGACGAAGTTTGTGAAGTATTTGGAAATGACATTTTTCTATTCAAAGATAAAATTACCCTCAGCTAAAACACGAAAGAAAAAAAAAATATGATAGTTTGAAACCTTTTCATATAAAATATTATGATCATATTGTTAGGTCTGCAACTTGAGTTCTACATCAGTAAATCAAAAGGCTTATATGAAGTTTATATAGCCTTGATTTTATCACTTTAATAATTAGTTTTTGCGATGATATTCTCCCTACATTGTATAATGATAATAAAGTTACGCATCACCTTTTATTCGCACCGTGCTAGGATCGGACTCGAAAAAGGTTATGTAGGGAAGAGCTATCTATTTGTAGTAGAATGAAAGCTACCTAGGGTGAAACATATTCATAGAACTCTCATTAGGACTTTATCAAATGCTTTTTGTAGGTCAGTAAATACCATATAGGTAAGTCCATTTTTCTTTTTTTATAATGTCCCATCAATTTCATTACATGTTCTATGTCTTCTGTATTCGTATATCTTGACATGAATTCAAATTGGTTCTCAAAAATAAACAAATCTCTCCTTCGCCACTCTCGATCTTCAATACTCTCATAATATGACTTAGCAGCTTGATACCCTATGTAATCTAACAAAAATTATTAGATAAAGAGAGTCTTGTTTCAACAATAAAAATTATCTCTCCATAATTTACAAATTACGAATTTGAATTGTAAAATGAAATACTAATATTTGTAGTTAATTACATCTTTTAAGGTAACTCTTTTCTGAACTCTACATAAATACGAGATGTTTCATCCAATCGAGCTACTCATTTTTAACCTTATTAAGGTGCTAGATATATAATTACTCTTCTTTATCTTCCTTTTCATGTGATTCGACAGTACGTCAGCTAACCGACAAAATTGCCGGTCATAAATTTCTGTTCACATGTTGTTTCTTTTGTTACCACTTTGGACATGCATATTTACCTACTCCAATATAAAACAACTTTTTGTTCCTTAATCTTTTGTGTATTTATATATTTATACAAAAACAAAAAAATGACAATTCTATTAACAAATGAAACGCAAAAAAACATACTCCTTTATATGGTATATCTCTATTCATTGTGATAAATATCTGAAGCTGCGTACCAAGCTAACAAAAATGATTGGACTAAACGTACGTAACCTATCTTCATCACTATCATAAAAAACGAAATTAATGACGGACAAAATTTTATAGCTAAACAACAAAAATCTCATGCTAATCTCATTTATCAATCAAGTAACGATAGATCATAAAAAAATTTAATCAAGCTAGCTAGAAACAATTTAACTATCAATTATTTATCTGAGAATTACGGACAAATTCTATAGCTAATTTTGTATTTTCTAGTAG